CAGGACAGAGTGGGTCGGAGAATGCTGGTCGGCAGCCTATGCTCCATTGGGAGTAACAGGCGTAATTAAGTAAGTAACAATAATAACAATTAAACTATATCTCACAGTTTGTTTTAGATATGCAACATATTTCTAAAACAAACAATATAGTTGCAGTTGATTTGTATTGTATAAATTCCTAAAGTACTTTACAAAGGATTAACTTTATTAAACTTGTCCAGAATTAAAAAGGAGATGCCGATCTTAAGCACGAGTTATCGCCAACAAATCCAAACTATAGGTTAAACAAACGGGAACAGGTAAGAACACCTCTCTATGTATACAGTGTTATGTAGAGATCGTCCAATTGTGTCTAAACAACCTTTTCAGAATGTCTTCAATATATCTTCTTGATCCAGTCTAAGTCTAATAAATCCAAATGATACCGGCTTGTCAGATAACAAACGCCATCAAATTTGTTTTCTATAAAATGGAACTAGCACTTAACTTTTCATGTTAACTTCACTAAATCTCCAGAAGCATTCCGGTTAACGTTCTCGATTGGTTAAGTGTGTGGATATCTTAGCTGACGCCACGTGTTTTTGGTAACCCATGTAATGTCGTAAGCTGTATCTAAGTAAAAACAAATAGATTACATGTTTAAATGACCGTCAAATTCTCTTCTATTGCAAAATTGTTGTGATTTAAACGTGACCTTTGTGCTTCATTTTCTCATATCCTAGATTAGATATGATGGTGGGTTGTGGGCTTGTCTATCATATATTTGTTCATATGCCTCTTTTTTAGGCAAATTAAATAAGGAATAAATTGGATAAACAGTTGTCTTCTTCCGCCGTATACCAACCAATCACGTCATAGGTCAGTTAGGATAGTTTTCTTCTCTATCCTCAAGATCGTTCAGTCACCACTAATTGAACTCATGCATTGCAAGCGTCAAACCTGCAACTAAGCGACTTTCCACATTGAAGACGTCAAACAGATCGAAACGACTCTGTCTTCCTGTACAGACTGATCAGAAAAGTAATAGTTTGAATAAGTAAAATTTACGGACTTATCAGTGACTGTTAAGAATTTCAATAGATAGAGTTTGTGAATTAAGTATTTGAAGCTTGTATACTAAATAGGAAGTCACAAATACGTAAAACCAGTCAATCACTATGTGAACAGAAAATGAGTTTTACTTTCGGACAATCAGGAAACTCAGTCGTTGAATTCTCGTTCAGAAACAGTTATCAAGGTGTTTAAAAATTGATTAATCACTGTTATAATCTTTCTTCATTTCGAGTGTTTTAACCTTTGCATGAACTACTTGAATTAGCGTATGAATCATGTCCATATACTTGTTTATTTATACAAAAGGAGTACAGAGGATGAATAACGTTTCAAGACAACTGTTATAACTTGTGGCCTGTGTGCCCTGTTAATGTAGAATGTAACGATACCGCGAATTAGAGAGCAGTGAATTATCGATCGAACCAATGACGCATAAAACCCCTACAAGCAGTCTAGAGTACTTATCGGTCCATCTTCACGCCTAGCTCTGCCTGTTAAGTCCAGAACACCAATCTCAGCTTCTGCAATATGAATCATTTATATACCAACCAGACAGATCACAACGTACCATAAAATAGGAAACAACATTTGAACAAGATTTAGCTAAATGTGGCTGTGAGTGTGAGATAGCAATTGATAGACAGGGTATAATTCAAGAATGATAAATCGTGTAATAACAGTTCATAGGTCAAAATAAGGCTCATAATAAGATGAACACGAATATGAACAGCTTAGTTACATAACAATTATACGATAAAAATATACTCATAGTCACAAATGATTGATCACTGGATGGTGATCCATGTCATGTGTGTCAAGTCCTTATTAATGCAGCTCGAATGCTATCGACCAAGTTGCAATGTAGCCACCAGTCTACGTGAGTCGACACTGCATGCACTATTGTGAGATTAGATGGTGGTTGGAGGTAATCGACAGGAAACCATGAACCCGAGTTTCGTGCTACTTGACACTCGTCAGCAAGGTGTACTTGTAATCGTGAGGGAACTGGTGCTCCCTGACTGATTCGATCCCGTGTAACACAGCTTCACAGTCAGAGACGTTACCACTGAGTTATCCGGGTCACGACCGACCTCCTGTAGGACTGAGATGTAATCATAATTCATTGATCACTGGGTGGTGATCAATGTCATGTGTGTCAAGTAACAGTAGTAACATCTCTGACTGTGAAGCTGGGTGACACGGGATCGAATCGTCCAGGGAGTACCAGTTCCCCCAAGATTACAGGTATACCTTGCTGACGAGTGCCAAGTAGCACGAAACTCGGGTCCATGGTTTCCTGTCAACTACCTCCAACCACCATTTATACTCATTGTCCATAAATGGATCCCAAAAGTTACCATTCATTATACATATCGGAACATAACAACAATATTACATATCACTCACTAATTATTAATCAGTTAGCAATTAACAAACCATTTATAGGTAATTATTAAAATGAGAAACTTGAGTTTAATCACTTTATTGACCATATGAATTAAGTATAAACGCTTAATTCAATATACCCTTTATCTTCTTAATCTTTATTAAAATCAAGTAACAGACTATTTATTATGTTGTACAAAAGTGTTCATATATGCATGTGACAGATTAAATTTCATGAATATTTAAGAAGTTACATTCTAAGTTAACTACGATATTAGTTACCATAGAAATAATACAATTAAAGTAGATCACTTTCTCTTTTACATGAAGATATCTAATCAATTGTTAATGAATGTGAAGTGTATAGAAAATATGATACAGATACATAGATAATGTTTCCAAGTGTGAATTTGTATTTAGTTGGCTAATGTAGACAATCATCCTCTGCATGATCATGATGAAATGAACAATGTCAAATGATAGGTCATGGTATATAGTAAAATTATTCATGTACTATGATATAACATCTATCTGATGATTGGTTGTCATAATTTTATATATATATTCTAGGTTAGTCTATTTTAACGTTAGTTAAACTTAATACAAAGAACCATATAATGAACTATTTCTGAAAATGTATAGTCACAAAGTATATAACACCGATTTGGTGAAAACGTTGATAATATACCAAGTCTTTTGATAGCACTGAGCAACAATACCAGTAGTTGAACATGTTGACAACTTCACTAATCTTGGAAGTTTGATTAGTTTTAATCAGTTGGTGTCTGACGATATCTCAGCATGGAATCAAAAAAACTCGTTTGGCTTTTAACGAGAAGGCGAGATATCCGACTATCAAATAAGGGACGAGTATACTGAGCGGCAGTTCGTTCTGTTCTAGTTTACGGTTGCGATACGTGACCATTAAGAGTAGAAGATACTCGTAAGTTACTAGTATTTAACCACAGATGTCTTAGAAATATTGCTCGCATCTTCTGGAATCATCGGGTAAGTAATAGTGAGGTTAGACGCAGGGTATTAGGGAATAATGGTAAATCACTTAATGAGATTGAGTCTTCATCGACTGAGATGGCTGGGTCACGTGTTACGTATGCCTGAACACCGATTACCACGACGCGCAATGCTAAATAGTATTAGGGATGATTGGAAGAAAGTTAGGGGCGGTCAAACCAAAACGTAGCATCAGTTCTTAAAGTCATTAACTTCTAGTCTTAGCCATGTTGGTGGTAGATGCAAACCACTTGGCTGAGGTCCGCGTGACTATCGTAACCAATGGTTGAAGACTGTGGGTGACATGAATCAGAATCGATCACAATGCCGTAGGTGTATACACTTTGTCTTCCCTTAAACCGTGAGATTAAAATTGCCTTATATCTTGCTTTATAGGAATTAATTCTTTCTTCCTATACTATATCCTTATACACAATCTTTCTTCGATATATACTAACACCATTGAATTAACTACTCCTATGAATCCGATGTTTATCTTGTTGTGCTAATGTGGTATGGCAACTTGAACCGATGTATATACGTGCCTGGTCCTACGCTGTAGCTGACTAACTGATATAACACCTAAATAATCACAATTACTAATCTGATCAAGTCTATTATGCATCACACTACTTATATGATGAATTATATTATTAATGCCTAGAAGTTTGTCAATGACGAATTTGATCATAAATAGTAAATCCACTAAATGTCATTTCAATCGATTCGATTTCTATGAACAATCTGTATATAAGATCATAAAAAATCTGATTAGATGAAACTCATTACATATCTATTTGAGTTACATAACATATTGTAATCATCTGAGAAGATTTAAAGATACTATCCCCTATAGATTATACATGAAGTTCAGTCAGTCAATCAGCTACAATGTAGGATCAGGCACATATATGGAACGGTTCAAGTTGCCATACTGCATTAGCACAGCAAAAAGTTACATCAATTAAAATTATTAAAACTTCATGTTGAAAATCGCAAGTATAATTAGTCTATGTCAAATATTAAAAGAATTAAACGGATGAACTATATATATATTTTTTCCCTTAAATGTTATTGAAATCAGGTACTATTCTCATTGAATCACGGTTGATTTAATCTTATGAGACGAGATTTCATGTGTCAGAAGCACAAAAAAAACAAAAAACGGAACTAGTGCATGACCTGGAAATAAGGAAAGTATGAAATGTATACACGTAAACAGTTTGGGAAAAGGAAACTCATATTAGGATGAAACGAATATCCAATGCTTTCAAGTTTTCCAAGGGGTAATCTAGCTTCAATTGACTCATGAATCCAACTATTGACATCACAGTAATATCCACAAAACCTCTCTGTGATTAAAATTTTAATAGTTAGATTTTATGAGTTGATGTAAGGTAAACTACTATGGAAAACTTATAAGAATTGAATAGTTGGTTCGTCCTAATATGGAGACTTCTTAGTGTGATATTGATAGGTCCTGTATTCAAATATCGCGAGATGGAATAGTCCCATACTAGAACGAAACGATCATCCAGTTACTTTCAAGTTTTTTCATAATAAAAGGTGGATAGTGGCTAGCAGTGGAATCCAGTTTGACGCGCGTTTAGTCCTATTTGGGACTGGTCAGCTGGATGCACCTGCATCTCAGAGTTGATGTTCACTCTGGGACTCGAACCGAGTACCGTTCGCTTCAAACGCCATCGCGTTATCCACTTAGCTACTGAGTCCTGAGATAGCCACTTGCTTGTGCAATCGGGTGAAGTTTAATTCACTTGATATTGTTTTGCTTGAATCTTCGCATTGATGTTTAGGACTGCAATTGATCAGTCTCTCATATTGGCATATGTGCATACTGTGCGTATTGCTTCGATATTGCCTTAATTTACATGCATCATAAGCAAAGATGGATAGTGGCTAGCAGTGGAATCCAGTTTGACGCGCGTTTAGTCCTATTTGGGACTCGTCAGCTGGATGTATCTGCATCTCAGAGTTGATGTTTACTCTAAGACTCAAACCCAGTACCGTCCGATTCAAACGCCATCAATGAGAAGATTTAAGTAAAACAATATCAAGTGAATTTTTTCATAATATTCTAACTTTAATGAATTCATAATTTCAACTATTGAAATGACTAAAAAATCTCCATAAAAACCCTTTCTCTCTAATTATAAAATAACAATATTATTTATCATTAAACAAATCTTTAATCTAACTCAAAATGAGATCAACAAAAAATAAGATCATTTTGATCGAATTCTTATAATAGAATTGATGTAACAATAAGAATAACAACAACAACAACAACAACAACAAGAACAATAACAAGAAAAAAGAAGAGAAAAGAAAACAAAACAAAACAAAAAGAAATATATATCATTACAATCGAATCATCAATCAATAAACACTACATACATTCCAATTTCTATTAAATATTAAACAATACAAATCGAAATGAATATGATATGATTATTAATTATTAAATAAAATCATAAAGTGTTTTCTATTATTTAAAGAATAAAAATATAAATAACAAAAAATATATAGAAATTTCTTCTTTCTTTTATTTTTAGAGAAAAAAAAGAGAAAATTTAAAGAGAAAAACGATTGTTTTTCTCTCTTACAAAAACAAACAAACAAAAAAAGAGAGAAAGAAAGAAAAGAAAAGAGAGTAATATATATATATATATTTTTTTTTCCTAATTACATCAAATTCGTTAAATAAAAATGTATAAAAGATACAAAGATAAAATAGAAATGTAATTTGTCGACGGAAATAATCAATTTTTTCTCTTTTTCATCAAAGACAAAAAAAGAAAGAAAAAACAAAAGAAAAAAAAGACGGGAAGAGATAGGAAGGGGGTGAGGTTGGGAGTAGAGGTGAAAGTAGGGATGGGGTGTTAGTAAAGAAAAACGATTTGAAAAAAACTGTATTAAAAAAAAAAAAAGAATTTTTTATTTCTTTAATGTGATATAAATTCAAATTCATAAAATGCTATTAATAGCATTATACAAAAACCTAAAAGGATACCAAAATTTTGCCATATAAATAAAACACTGGGTTGATGACAACGTCGATTACCTTTAAGTTGATTAGCTGATAATTCTGGCATCTAAGAAATAAATAAACAAAGTGACATAAACAAAAGTATTATATACATTGACTATTGAGATAATTATAAAAGTAATAATGTTGAGTGATAAATTGATGAATGTAAGAACTTGTCTATATTCAGTTAATCAATCAGTTACAATGTAGAACCAGGCATATATATGTATCGATCTGTTAGGTCACGATAAATATAATGAATGGTAACTTTTGGGTATCCATTTATCGATCAATACTATGAGTATACTTTTATCGTATAATTGTTATGTAACTAAACTGTTCATATTCATGTCTCTGTTATCATAAGCTTTATTTTAACCTATGAACTCTTATTATACGATTTACCATTCTTGAATTATTCTCTGTCTATTAATCACAACCTCCCTTACTCACAGCCACATTTGGCCAAATTTTGTACAAATGTTATTTTCCATTTTATAGTACGTTGTGGTCTGTCTGGTTGGTATATAAACCGAGTATGTTTTAATTATAACGATTCATATTGAGATTGGTGTTCTGAACTTAACAGGCAGGGCTAGGCGGGAATCTGGACCGATAAGTACTCTAGACTGCTTGTACGGGTTTACGCGTCATTGATCCGATTGATAAGTCACTACTCTCTAATTGGCGGTATCGTTACATTCTACATTAGCAGGGCACTCAGGTCACAGTTATAACACAGTCCAAGTTGCCATACCTCATTTGACTTATCTATATTAGAATAAGAATGACTTAAATAGAGGTTATTTAGACAATTAATAAAGTATAGATTATCTCCAACTAGTAGTGTAATATTGGTATATGGTAAGAAAAGTAAAATATGATTGGTCATTGAGCATGGATAAACAAGCATTTAGTTTACTAATAGAGATTGCTTGTAACTATATAGAATAAAGTACTATCTAGTGTTAATTTAGTTCTTTATTCTAAGTCGTAAATCCTGTTTCTAATATAAAGTGATCAGTTTTGTTATCGCATTTAACGCATAATCATTGTACATTTGAAAGAGAAAAATATTTCAAGCCAGACTTTATATCATTATTTGGTCCTCTGTAAAGATGATGCTAAAAATTCAATGATAATCTTTATAGTCTCATAATAATACATGACTTTAGCTAAAGCTGAATAGACCACACATTACAGAAACTGTCAAACTGAATGTCAAGGTAAGCTCTAACTTGAAATTCTAAAAGAAAAAGGAAAAGACCGAGACTGAAGTAAGTAAGTAAGTAAGTAAGTAAGCAAGTAAGTAAGTAAGTAAGTAAGTAAGTAAGTAAGTAAGTAAGTAAGTAAGTAAGTAAGTAAGTAAGTAAGTAAGTAAGTAAGTAAGTAAGTAAGTAAGTAAGTAAGTAAGTAGGTAAGTAAGTAAGTAAGTAAGTAAGTAAGTAAGTAAGTAAGTAAGTAAGTAAGTAAGTAAGTAAGTAAGTAAGTAAGTAAGTGAGTAAGTAAGTAAGTAAGTAAGTAAGTAAGTGAGTAAGTAAGTAAGTAAGTAAGTAAGTAAGTAAGTAAGTAAGTAAGTAAGTAAGTAAGTAAGTAAGTAAGTAAGTAAGTAAGTAAGTAAGTAAGTAAGTAAGTAAGTAAGTAAGTAAGTAAGTAAGTAAGTAAGTAAGTAAGTAAGTAAGTAAGTAAGTAAGTAAGTAAGTAAGTAAGTAAGTAAGTAAGTAAGTAAGTAAGTAAGTAAGTAAGTAAGTAAGTAAGTAAGTAAGTAAGTAAGTAAGTAAGTAAGTAAGTAAGTAAGTAAGTAAGTAAGTAAGTAAGTAAGTAAGTAAGTAAGTAAGTAAGTAAGTAAGTAAGTAAGTAAGTAAGTAAGTAAGTAAGTAAGTAAGTAAGTAAGTAAGTAAGTAAGTAAGTAAGTAAGTAAGTAAGTAAGTAAGTAAGTAAGTAAGTAAGTAAGTAAGTAAGTAAGTAAGTAAGTAAGTAAGTAAGTAAGTAAGTAAGTAAGTAAGTAAGTAAGTAAGTAAGTAAGTAAGTAAGTAAGTAAGTAAGTAAGTAAGTAAGTAAGTAAGTAAGTAAGTAAGTAAGTAAGTAAGTAAGTAAGTAAGTAAGTAAGTAAGTAAGTAAGTAAGCAAGTAAGTAAGTAAGTAAGTAAGTAAGTAAGCAAGTAAGTAAGTAAGTAAGTAAGTAAGTAAGTAAGGAAGGAAGTAAGTAAGTAAGGAAGGAAGGAAGGAAGGAAGGAAGGAAGGTAGGAAGGAAGAATCCCAGTGAGTTATGACAATATTTTACGATCAAGACGAATCGTGAAAATTTGATCAGACATCATCACTAATGAGTTAATTATTGCAGATCTCTTTTTTTTAAAAAAAGAGAATTAAAATAAATATAATGAATATAAAAAAATCTAATAGAAAAACAAAACAAAACAAACAGACGAACCCCCCTCCCTCAAAAAAAAACAAAACAGTAAACTAACCATATCAACTAATGCAATATAAATAAACATTCCAGCAGCTAACATAAATATCCATGTATCTAATGAATGCATTCCACCAAGTAAAAAACCAATAATCATTCCAGCAGCACATAATATACTGGATAATAAATTATAAAATAATGCTGATTTAACAGACATTCCAGCATGAAGTAATACAGCAAAATCACCTAAAAATTAATAATAATAATAATAATAATAAATACATAAATAAAAATATTTATTGATTTTTAATAGAATAAATGGATTATAATAGAAATTCAATGAAACTATAATTGATGGACGGATCAATCAGATATAAGATGATAACAGGTACTCGGAATTCTGGCACGAAATTCACTTAACCATTTTGGTATTTGAGCTAATGTTATTTTGTGACGAAAGTTGTTGATCTAAATTCCTAATCTTAATCATCAACTTTAAATTATAATTTTAGTTCCACACCATGGTATAACCTTTATTTAGTTCTAATTATTAGTGCCCCCAAATACCCTGGTACGGCCAAGAGTGGGGAGAGTCCGCTCTCCCTCTCAAATGGCCACGCGTATACAGCCTCTTCCAGGGAAGTCCTACTCACTACCTTCTCTTGGCACAGGTGTTGTTTACGAAAATGAGAGGACGAAAAGCGAATGTTTGGCGCTTTAACCGGATCCCGAACCAATGATGCACATGAGCTAGCTCCAGTATCCTGAAGGAACAAATGGCGTATGAACCAATTGTTGGTCACCGGCTACCATGGGACTGCATCTCCTTACGATGCTCCACTGCCTTGTGGATCAGACCTTTAGGTCATAGGCTCGGGGTGTGGTCCCCTAAGAAAACAAACTGCTTCGGTTTGGGCACCCGGGTAGTATCACAGCCCTCACACATTTTAATTGAGATTTGTGTGGCGCATATAGATTTGGTGCCTCCTTGTACCAATATCTATGTGTTGAAATAATAATAATGATAATAATAATAACAATCTAATTATTAGTAGATGGATACTCTCAAGGTCAGTCTAGTGTCGCTCAAAGGTCGTCCATCAATTATAGTTTTATCAGAAATTTTAATTAAAACATTTTATTGAGCTCTATTTGAGAAAGTAAAATTAAAGAAGTGATTTTTCATATTTTTTTCTAAATAAACGATTACTATATTCACTTTTTTTCAATGAGTGACTTATATATTGAATGTAAAGATCATTTTGGCATAAGTCTACTGTGGTGTGGATATCTGAGACAATGGATTGATGTTTGCAACAGAAAAATTCAAGTTTGATATGATGCATTGATATTTTGAAAATTAACGATTTAATATATGGTTCCCAGATTTTATTGGGATGCTCTATAATTATGTGCCTGAATACATTCGATTGTCCCCATTGGTATTCTTGTTCACTACACTACTACCTGATACGTCGAATAAATTGATTTATATTTAATTGTAAAAGTTGTTCAAATCAATTGAAAGATTAACTTGAGCAGATTAAGTCGATTTTCGTGTAAATCCTAGATTGGTTGACCATTACTTTGTATGAGGATGGACCACGGGTGAACTCTAGGAAGCTGTAAGAGGCTCAGAAGGAACAGAAGATATTCCATCTAATCACCTTTTGGAAGAATATTCTAGAATTCCTGCATGTAGCTTCCCGATTGGACAATGCTAATAACCCCCTGTATGCGGATTGGAGGACTGTAATAATGATTTCGTTCTTACTAAAAACTATACCTGACAATTTTGTACTATAATTGACACTATCTGGAATAATATTCCATTCATTAGTCTTGTGTCTTTTCATTACGACTTGGAAGGGTTCTGGCGTTCTAGTGCTCAAGTTATACACGGTATATAAAAAAACAGCCATCTACATATAACAATTTGACCTCCATTAGGCGCTTCAACTGAATCACAAGTACTGCAGGTCAACTATCGTTTTGTTTACTGATATTAGAGTTGGTCCTTACTTGACAAGCATATTTGTCTTAAAAAAAATTAGGCTTGAGAAGAGTGGGTCTTTTAGTCCCTACCTTATTTAAAGCCCTGTACAATCAATTCATCGGAAAAGCAAGGACAGGATTGCATAATTACTTTATTTACGTTTAGTTATTATGTCAATGACATCCTGGAAATAGCATTGAACTGAATATATATATATATATATATATATATATATATATTTTATATGTGTTGACTAATCGAACACATGGAGTATGTTTATTTACTGTGTGAGCGCCAGTGGAAATGTCCATGACTAGATCGACATTGTGTTATATCTTAACAGAAGTGATTAAAGTATTGGGGTTTTTGACTGGCTTCAGATAAATTCTATTTACGACAGACTGAGGATTATTCTAATATGACACAATGAATAGGAGCTCGGATGTACCATATGTCTATCACACAATAGGACTTCAATATTAATAATCCACATACTAATCGAGAAGACAGGACTTTCAGAATAACTTTATATTCCATACAGAATCCAAATTCGGAAAGGAAGATATACATAGTGTAGGAAGTAAATGCAAGCAATTATTTAAAAATAACAATAATCAGTGGTCAAGATTACGGTGACTATTTCAAGGACCAACATTACACTTATAAATGAACTTAAAAGTGTCAATATACCAGGATACATAATTCGATAAATTAGTTACAGTAGGGAGCAAGGAATTTAACATAATATATTAGATATAATTATGGGGAAATTAAAACCAACAATTTACACCGTACGTTTTATAGCTTTAACTTACCTAGTTCATGTGGGAGTTCATGACATAATACAGCTATTGAAGTTGACAGACCACCACGCATATCATTCGCGAATGCAGCGCCAATAGCTATACCATCACAAAAGTTATGTAATCCATCACCAGCAATTATAGTATAAGCAATTGCGCGAACAGAACTTAAATCATGACTATGACCATGATGATGCCCATGTGGTTTATCACGATGTGGATGTGTTTGAATTTGTTCCCCGCCACGAATATAATCAAATGACGAATTCTTTTTTAAAATTGAATTAGATTTACTAATTTGAGAAGTAGTATTATTAGCATGGTTAGCAAGCTCTAATGTAGTATTATTCTAAATAGATAATATAAATAACCCACAGATTGTTACATCAATTTACAGAACCAAACTCAATGGCAAAAAACAAATACTATTGTGATGTTTTCTACTTATGTTGACAAATATAAGTGGTATGTAACATCAATCAGAAGTGGAATACCTGGCATGAGAAAATTGAGATCAAATTGAAGAGAGCAGGAATATAAACAGAGAGTAATTGTGACAACAACCGGAATAAAGGAACGACTGAGTTTGTAAGAGGCAATGAATGGAAGATGACCAAATGATATATATAATGTACGGTTTTCATATTTTACCAAGACATTATAATGTTGCACTATACAATAAATTGTTTTTTCCTTTCTGAGTTCTCGTTCACTACAGTATATCTTCTGGTAGAACGAGACGTCAATACATTAGAATTGCCGTACGCAACTTACTTACGCCTGTTATTCCTCGCGAAGGAGCATAGGCCGCTCACCAGCATTCTTCATCAAACCCTATCCTGGGCAATCCTTTCTAGCTCTTTCCAGTTGTTATTCATCCCTTTCATATCCGCTTCTATTTACCGACGTAATGTGTTCTTCGATCTTCCTCTTTTCCGCTTCCCTTCAGGATTCCAATTTAGCGCTTGTCTCGTGGTGCAGTTTGATAATGTGCGTAATGTATGTCCTATCTATTTCCATAGACTTTTCCTACTTTCATATTCAGCTGGAAGCTGGTTCGTTCTCTCCCACAGAAGGCTGTTGCTGATGGTATCCGGCCAACGGACGTTGAGTATCATGCGTAGACAGCTATTGATAAATATTTGTACCTTCTTGGTGATGGTTGTCGTAGTTCTCCACGTTTCAGCTCCGTACAGTAAAACTGCCTTGACGTTCGTATTGAAGATTCTGACTTTGATATTGGTTGATAAACAGTTGTTTTGAGTTCCATATGTTCTTTAATTGAAGGAAAGCGGCCCATGTTTTGCCGATCCTCGCCTTCACGTCTGCATCTGATCCCCCTTGTTCATCGATGATGCTCCCCAGGTATGTGAAGGATTCCACATCTTCCAGAGTTTCGCCATCAAGAGTGATTGGATTGCTGTTCTCTACGTTGTATTTGAGGACATTGGTTTTCCCCTCGTGTATGTTGAGGCCTACTGATGCAGAGACTGCTGCTACACTATCTGTCTTTATCTGCATTTGTTCGTGTGTATGCGATAGGAGGGCTACGTCATCTGCGAAGTCCAAACCGTCTAATTGGTTCTGAGCTGTCCATTGAATGCCGTGTTTTCCCTCAGATGTCAAAATCTTCATAATCCAGTCGACTACCAGAAGAAAGAGGAAGGGATAAAAGCTCTACAAAACCTTGTCTAGAAAATTTACTGTTTGACGAATAGGTTGTTAGAGTTGTCCAAGTCAATAACTTTTATGCTTAAAAATGTTGTACACATTAAAATCTTCTTAAAAATGGCATTTCATTTAATTTCAGGTAGCTTATCTACTTAAATATTGGATATATACATGTAGTTATTAGTGTATTTCCCCTTTTTTCCTTTTCTATGGAACAAACTCGTTGAAATACTTTGTGTTGAGAATTCTATATTGTACTAAAAGTATAATATTGAAAAAAGCGATTGATAATAATAACAACTTCATATGGTTTTAAAGTATACTGACGTTCTCGTTATTTCAGTGAATTATGGACAAAAGCATCCAGATCCTGTTGTCGAGTCGAGTTCCTTGTCCAGTGTATCTCCTCCCGATATTCATTATCGTCTGATTCTTCCGGATGAGGTTATCGAGCGAGCATATCTTTCAGCTTTGCAACTGGAAGCAGTGGTGTACGCCTGTCAACGTCATGAGTGTATCCTACCAAATGGTCAACGTGCTGGGTTTTTAATTGGTACGTTATTTGTTCTTTGCGTAGTATTTATCATACATTTTCGTCGCTTAACAAAACAGTAAGCTGTGGTACTAGTTACCCAATTTATGTACACGTTTTATTCATTCAACTTGGTGTAATGGGTCTCAAATTTTTTAAAGAATTGTTTAATTTTTTTGTGAAGCTATTCTTTTAGGATCACTAACCTTACGAATCAAATCTGCGACTCTAATACTACTTAACGTATGTCGATGCGTTCGACTCTTTTGGTCGTTAGGTTCTGTGTGTCTGCTAATAAACGACGTACCAATGAGTTGCATTGACCCTGTCAAGTCTTTTTACTCGAGCTGTTCTGTCAGAGCTTATGGTTAACTGGTATCGGAATTAATAACTTCACTTGCCGTTCGTCAGGGTTGTCCACTTTCACCATTTTTATTTAATTTTGTCAAATATAGGAGTGAAGTCGATCGTAACAACCGCTCTATTTATCTTGTGATTCTCATTAGTCCAGATGTTCTGGTGTCAGATGAAACCTCAGCACGGATTCAGAAAATCTGATTGAAGTTTGCTAACTTGAGTCACTTGTGGTTTGAGCGAGATGTCTGTCTACCAACTAAAAGGTGTCTATAATGCAAAGTCCATTTGGATTCACATTGTGGCTGTGAAATTTGTTCTACAAAATTGAAAAACTTACTTAGACTACAGGATTTTAGTCATGTATTTTCGAAGCATTTCTTATGGTCTGAGGAACCATCAAGTGTGGAATGCTAATGTTAGGAATAGGATTCTGAGTAAAATTAGTAAATCGATTGATGAGGTTGTCAATGTTCATCCACCAAGGTGGTTAAGACACACTTGGTATGTCCGGTAACTGCTTACGTCGAATGATGATGCTACATATTCCTATTCACTAAATATATTAAAAAATAGTTCAGAAAACGTTTCCATTTTTATATATGCAGCAAACAATGGTATGCCAACGTATTTACATCTACCGGTTCACATTGTATCAACATGGTAAAGAGTTTATCAATATAGTCTGATAGACTATAATTAAACTAAATAGTTTCAACACTTTCATCTTTAGAATACAGTCCACGTATTACAAAAAAAAAGCAATTCACTAAAATTAAATTCAACAATCCACAGTTATCAACAGAGCTATAAGGAAAGATGAAAGAAATGTAAGAAGATAAATGAGAACGATATAAGGAATCACAATTTATTGATCACTGAGGGGTGATACATGTCATGTGTGTCAAGTCCTTATTAATGCAGCTCGAATGCTATCGACCAAGTTGCAATGTAGCCACCAGTCTACGTGAGTCGACACTGCATGCACTATTGTGAGATTAGATGGTGGTTGGAGGTAATCGACAGGAAACCATGAACCCGAGTTTCGTGCTACTTGACACTCATCAGCAAGGTGTACTTGTAATCGTGAGGGAACTGGTGCTCCCTGACTGATTCGATCCCGTGTAACATAGCTTCACAATCAGAGACGTTACCACTGAGTTATCCGGGCCACGACCGACCTCCTGTAGGACTGAGATGTAATCACAATTCATTGATCACTGGGTGGTGATCAATGTCAAGTGTGTCAAGTAACAGTAGTAACATCTCCGACTGTGAAGCTGGGTGACACGGGATCGGATCCGTCAGAGAGCACCAGTTCCCCCAAGATTACAGGTATACTTTGCTGACGAGTGCCAAGTAGCACGAAACCTGGGTCCATGGTTTCCTGTTGACTACCTTCAACCACAATTTAATCAATTCGGTTAATTAAAATTAAATACTGAGAAAACTTTCTGAAAAGGTGTCATGTTGTTGAATCGAACAAAAACCTTCCAAATTACTATAAATTAATTTAACTAAAAAGATCATAATCTCACTTGTTTAGAATTATTTTTCACATCAAGCATATCAACTAAGGATCCTCCATTATTCAATACAGATGTTTGCTTATTATCATTATTAGTATTCTTATTATTATTGTGCACCGACGACTTTCGCAAATCGGACAGTTTTGTATAGTGACCCTCAATAACTGCACCACCGCCAAAATGCTGTTGTTCAATATTTGCTACCGCTTCAACGGAATCTAGTGGCGGCACAGTATTGTTGTTGAACGACCAGTGAGGTTGATTAGCACCATCTGAACCACCTAATATTACAAAAAAACATAAGCACACAGTTCAACGAACAAAAAATAAATCAGTATCAAAACAATTGCCAAACAGAGAAATATAACCAAATATCAACATTAACAGTGTGATATAACGTGCAAAGGAACTACTTTCATCAGTTCATATAAACAAAGGTAGAATGTAAATAACTGTGAACCTTGATGAAAACAACGTCCAGGAGATTCCATGATCGATAACTACTGACTTATTGTCTTCACGCCAGACAAAAACCAAAATTTATCATTACAAGATCATAAACTTTATGTAGAAAAGTAATTCAATTATCAGATAGTAAATTCACTTCACCTTGAGCTACTGACCTGTTTATTCATTAAAAATATGACTTATATCACCTTAATAAGACATATTCTCAGTTTCATTAGTGTGAGATCTGTAGTCATCTGCGGTTTCCCACACTACGATAAGACACTTCTTGAAAGATCCGACATGGAAACTAGACTATATTATATAAATATAGCTAAAATGGGTCACGATTACACACAAAAGCCTGATCACCATGTCAAGGTAGCGACTATGCTGTAAGAGCAGGTTATAAGAAAGCTAAGGGTGCCATCAATCCATGAAGGCAATAACTGTCAGTCTAAGTCATGTTGGTAGATGTTGATTGATTGATTAAAAACACTAACTAACCACTAAGACATCGATCCCACATTCCATACAGTAGTTGCAGTTAAGCGATCTCACACTGAGAAAATATATCCGGATTTTATCATTATTCTTTTAAAAATAAAGGTCAAAAGAACAAGTATTTCTGTCTGGCATTTAACACTATTCTTCATTTTAAGCAGCAAACTATGGTACTTATGCCTTGTCACTTTTATGAGTTGAAAATACTGTTTAATTCACTACACATAACTTGGCAAGTAAGCAATCACAAACAATCACATATTATGATTAATCAATATGAGAATTCTAGACAGATGAGGTCAAATATCTTTTTCTTACAGTGTGCGTGACAGAGTGATTGTGCAATATATACTCTCTTTAACAAATTCATGACACCAGTAACTACTTAAACTATTTGCTAAATAAATAGGTTATCAGCTAAACTTGCCCTTGAAAACCGTAACACATCAAGTGATTCGGTCACGGTTGGTTGGTTGATCGGTTGGTTGGTACAATGGGAATTCATCTGCCTGCAGTGTTCTTGTTGCAGTTTAGTCGTCAGACAAAAGAAGGTGGAAAGCTTAATCCCAAATCAATAGGCGTTGAATGTTGATCTCGGTCGTTATCTCATTGTCATTGAACTAGTGGTCAAGAGTAAAACACTGTGTCATTGGCTAACAGAAATTTATTGGTCCTATGCATGAAATCTAGGCGAATTAATCAATAATTGGACTAGGTAGAACAACTGCTCTCAAAATAATAGCCCAATCACACGGTTCTCGACATAATACAAGTATCTGAGTTTTTGCCGCTACATCAGAAACTACTTCCATCAGCGTCACAAGCTCCAAGTATAGCAAACGTTACAACTGGATGTTTCTTTGCAAAAGGAGTTGCGATTCGTGAACTAGCGAAGATGATTGTATATAAAAATTCCTGAATATGAGACAAGACTTGATGATTTTATATGTGAATACAAACCTAATTACATTAGTAGAAAAACTCTTAAATTCCTTGATGATTACGGAGGAATATAATCTTACAAGAAGAACTGCTATTCATCAGCTATACACCCTAACTAATCCAAACAACACAAGGGAGAGAAATGTCTTCGGAATATCAGACGCATGTTGAAAGAGAAAGCTCTTTTCTTCTAAACTTTTGAGGTGAGAAAAGACACAACAACATCATCTAGGCGATAAATCCGATAAAATATTAGAGAGATCGGAATGACCAAACGTTTAAATGACAAAATTAAAACCTGATCAAGACAAATATCACCACATATGGAATTGAAACTTTGAGGAATTAACTAAAAAGTTCCGACGCAGTTTGTCAGTTAATTCAATATGTGACTTAAAACCTAATGTTTTGTACATATCAGTAGTTATGTGAAAACTACTCTGTAAGTCAGATTTGCAGCGATTTATTTATTTTTATTTATTTGAACACAAATAGTGGTACAAGAGGGCACCAAATATAAATGCGCCACACAAAATTTTATTTGTGTATGGGTTGTGATACTGTCCGGGTGCCCAGACCGAAGTAGGTGGTTTTCTTAGGGGACCACACCCCGAGCCTTTGACCTAAAGGTCTGATCCACAAGGCAGTGGAGCACCGTGAGGAGATGCAGTCCCATGGTAGCCGGTGACCAACAATTGGTTCATACGCCATTTGTTCCCACAGGATACTGGAGCCCATGTGCACCATTGGTTTGGGATCCGGTTAAAGCGCCAAACATTCGCTTTTCTTCCTTTCATTTTCGTAAACAACACCTGTGCCAAGAGAAGGTAGTGAGTAGGACTTCCCTGGAAGAGGCTGTATACGCGTGGCCGTATGAGAGGGAGGGCGGGCCCACCCCACTCTTGGCCATACCAGGGCATTTGGAGGTTTTGCAACGATAAATGCAGATAGTGACAGGAAACGAAGGATAGATCTTTACTGTAGGTATCCTTGTAAATTTGACGACTAGGCACAGAAGAGAATTACTTGGATGACTAATCGGCTTTCGATGGTCCAAAGTTTAGCAACAGTGACAGAACTCTGCAGCTTTTTACAGATTACAACTAGTCTCTTACCAGCACCACCTTTTGGCACGATTATCGCCTATACTACTGGGAGTCCACACTCTGTAACCTAAACCACGACTCTGAATGATCACTTTGTGATCATCTACTGAAGACATGACTGCGTACAAGATGTTACCTGTTCCGGAGTACATATATAGATTTTGACTACGGTCTTGAATGTACCAAGCCTATCCTGCTTGTCAGTAACTACTCAGCAGATTGTCTCAAACAGGTTGATACAAACCGTTAATTTAGTGAAAATCCTAGGCACCCACTAGCTAAGTTTGTATTATTTAAAAAATATGGGCAGTACAATCGCTTAGGGCTCTGCTTAACATCCTGCTTATAAGTTTTGGGTTTCACAGGCTCTTTACGACTCATTGAAGTACTCCAATCTACTACACACAATCGTGAGTTTGGCGATACAAATATGAAGTTTCACAAAGCTTGTATAGGGATAGATAAGCCTGGTGATACAAATGTGAATTACTTTGAAGTGGAAACAACTGTCATTCATACGATCCAAATATAAGACAAACACTGATGTGGACAAAGAATGTTAGTGACTCTACAAAAACACAACAACCACTTTAACTGACACACTCATTTTTAGGTTAATTATAATCACAGTTAGTGATTAGTTAACAATTGTTACACAGCCACAACTGTATGGCAAATGTACGAAGTTCATACTGAATTAATACACAGAATATTATCCGAAAATAAAACAAATAATACACTGAACAATTATCATACAATATTAAATAAAGGAACCACCATTCAACAAAGTTCACAATCAGTTAAAAACGTAATCTTGTATACTTAGTTCGTCTTAATAGGTGGACAAAGTGTGCTGATGAGTTGAAAGCAGCAGATACATTTGGTAATTAACGGAAAATATCCCTACACATTCTAATCATAAGTTACAAGAAGTCTAGTGTCAAAGAAAAATCTTGTGAGGTTGATAGTCAGAGAATTAGTAACCTTCGAAGTTGTCTTAAAAACTAAGGAGAACACTGCGATGGATAAATCAACTTCACTATCAGCATGAATTAGATTGCTCATTAACCTGTAACAATAGAAACGCTTATGGAAGCACGGGTTCTTAGGAAACTCTGGCTTTTAAAGTGTAGCAAACCACCAAGACCAGAAGACCTAGAACTGGTTTTCGCTAAGAATGGTGGCGAATATGTGGTCGGTGCAATGACTAGATTATTTGAAAAGATCTGGAAATCTGAGAGGTCAACGTTCCCATTTTCAAAAAGGGTATACCTAATTTCTGCGATATTAATCGATGGTACCTATAATGATACACAGACTATGCAAAATCCATGAATGATTAACTAGTTGGGAGTAGGCTGGTTTTCATTTAAATCGCGGATGTATTAAACATATATCGTAACAATATACCAAACTCTAGAACAAAGCCAAAATTATTGCAGCTCAACAACTGTTTTGCTTTTCGACATTAAGATCACTTTAGGAGCAACTTATCGAAGAATGGTGTCTTAGAAATTTAAGGTCAAATAAATAAATAGACCAAGAAGAGTAAAAGTTTACAACCACTCCTCTATATTATTGCAGTCCATGAGTGGGGTTAGACAGAGTTGCACAATATCACTATTTCACTTCACTACTGTCTGGACTCTCTTTGTGATGAATTGTTAAAATGGTCAAAATATTCATCTATATTAGTATTTGCGTGAGTACTAGTAACGTTTGTGGTGACCTGCCAGATGTGATCAATCTATGTATGACGAAAGATAGAAAAGCTAGTGATAATCTGGGCCATCTCTGGTACCGTCATTATGTTAGTCTATCTGTAGTCGGTCTCATAACGTGTCCCTAAGTGCACTTTTGTTTGATGCTTGTCAAACTCAGACTTTCTGAGCTTAGGGTGTACAACGATTATTTGTGTTAAACTATCGTTGTTTCCGAAGGGTTACTTGCATCCACCGCCAACACCATGTTAGTAATGCCAATGTTCAGTTATATGTGTCCCGTTGCAATGACGATTAAAAATTTGTGTGGCCATCTTGAAAAACCGACGCCAATGTTTTGGCCATGTTTTATAAATGTTGTTCCAGCGAACTCCACATTGAGCATTATTTCCCGATGCTAGGGTAGGGTGAAAATAACGGCGACGGGGTCAGTTTATAAACTACTCTGTCATGAAAGACAGATTCATAGGAACTGTACCTATCAGTGAACCATCCCTCTCAGTACCACTGAGCCGGTATCCAACGGTATTAATGTCTGACCTCAACCAATCCACGGTATCGTGCACTACTGGAGTCCCATACTAAGACGAAACGGCAATCCAGTAATTCCAGGTTATCCATGGTGGTCTAGCCTAAATCAGCTGACGAATTCAACCATTAAAATTACCACAATCTCAACAAACCCCCATTTTGATACTACTAATTCTTTCGTGTGGTCCATTTGTATTCACCAACTACACCAGAATTAATGTGATTTCGAGAACAGATTATGAAGCATAAATCGGTAGACAAGAACCATAGGTGATTAGGTTAATACGATGCTATTGGATTCATTCGTCAGTTTTTTTTGTAAATTATGAAAGTTTCAATACTCGTCAATCATTTTTCCTATTAAACCCAGTATCTTATTGTAATATCCTTAGAAATTCAACTGCTCTTGGTTTATACTGGTTTTCTAAAATTCAATTTTCGCAATATTGGTACCACATTTTATGTATTGTTGAGCATATAACCTCAAAAATTCAAGACAAATCCATTAAGTATAGATCACTCCATAGAAAGTGTTCATTATATAAGCACATCTTCAAGATTAAAAATAATATACAGGCAAAAAGAGTACTCTTCAAAAACATTTATTACGTACTTATTTGCTTTTCATTAAGATAATCTACGCAACGACTATTATCCATGGGTCGTTCAGGAGAGCAATTACACATCTGGCTTTCATTCAATGCAGTATTCTAAAAAAAAAAGAAAAGAAGAAATGTTATAGGGAATTAAAAAGTCAATGTAAGGAAGATCATACACGATGATCAAATGTTAAAACCCCACTGATCATTACAGTAAATGCATAGATGTCTACAAATGAATGATAAACGTAAAAATGAGGTAGACATACGTAGAAACTGACTACAGCTTTATGTATTATCTAGTGAATTATGGATGATTCGAAGCTAGCTGATTCGTAGACAAAAATTCAGAAAGCATAAATCTACATAAAATAATGAATTTGAGAATAAATTAAAACTTCAGATTCATTCAAGAAAAAAAAAAAAAAACAAACATGAAAAGTATTCATTTTGTCTAAATTCTAACTTTAATATTCTGACTAAATTGTAAACAGGCGAACAGATCAAATCATCAAAACAGGTTACAACGAATAATCAGATAAGGAAAAGAAATAATCGTTTATTATTAACTGAAATAGCATTAGAGTTAAATTTCTTATCAAGTCTAAGAAAGCAAAAACGGAAGAAATAAAAACTAATTTAAAATAAAAGCTAGGTCGAAAAGCTTGAGGCAATTTCTTAAAGTTTCAATTGCACATGTGTCTCCATTACGATTATCATATTATATCGAGGATGTTACGATCGGGCTATTATTCTGAGAATAGAAGCTCCATCTAGTCAAATTATTGATTAATTCGCCTAGATTTCATGCATAGGACCAATAAATTTCTGTTAGCCAATGACACAGTGATTTACTCTTGACCACTAGTTCAATGACAATGAGATAACGACCGAGATCAACATTCAACGCCTATTGATTTGGGATTAAGCTTTCCACCTTCTTTTGTCTGACGACTAAACTGCAACAAGAACACTGCAGGCAGATGAATTCCCACTGTACGAACTAACCGACCAACCAACCAACCGTGACCGAATCACTTGATGTGTTACGGTTTTCAAGGGCAAGTTTAGCTGATAACCTATTTATTTAACAAATAGTTTAAGTAGTTACTGGTGTCATGAATTTGTTAAAGAGAGTATATATTGCACAATCACTCTGTCACGCACACTGTAAGAAAAAGATATTTGACCTCATCTGTCTAGAATTCTCATATTGATTAATCATAATATGTGATTGTTTGTGATTGCTTACTTGCCAAGTTATGTGTAGTGAATTAAACAGTATTTTCAACTCATAAAAGTGACAAGGCATAAGTACCATAGTTTGCTGCTTAAAATGAAGAATAGTGTTAAATGCCAGACAGAAATACTTGTTCTTTTGACCTTTATTTTTAAAAGAATAATGATAAAATCCGGATATATTTTCTCAGTGTGAGATCGCTTAACTGCAACTACTGTATGGGATGTGGGAGTGGTTAGTTAGGGCGTTCGACTTTCAGCCATTCATCCTTGTGTTCAATCACACAACTCCATCTACTCCGATTCGGGCAACTGAGTAGTTTCATTAGCTTCAACACTTAGAGTTTTACTCGTGCTCAAGTAGTTAATGGATTAGTTAATTTATTTAATTATTTATTATGGAACCTATTTTATTATTATTTTCTATAAGCAGATAGTTCATCATAGTTTTAGTGTGTGGGCTGAGATACTGCCCGGGTGCCCAGACCGAAGCAGTTGGTTTTCTTAGGGGGCCACACCCCGAGCCTTCGACCTGAACGTCTGACCCACAAGGCAGTGGAGCATCGTAAGGAGATGCAGTCACATGGTAGCCGGTGACCAACGATTGGTTCATACGCCATTTGTTCCCACAGGATACTGGAGCCCATGTGCACCATAGAATTGGGATCCGGTTAAAGCGCCAAACATTCGCTTTTCGTCCTTTCATTTTCGTAAACAACACCCCCGCCACGAGAAGGCAGTGAGTAGGACTTCCCTGGCAGAGGCTGTATACGCGTGGCCGTGTGAGAGTATTTCGAGAGGGAGGGCGAACCCTCCCCGCTCACGGCCATACCAGGGCATTTGGGGGCATTATGGAACCTACATCCAGTAATAATCAATGTATAGCTTGACACAAATGCTTGTTCGATGAAGTTGCCATAGCACACCGTAATTACGATACGGAATGAACATACGATTGGCGAAGGTGTAGGAATCACATGATGGCAATGATAATGAGGACTAAAAATTGAGAATATGTTTCGAGAAGGAGAATAATAATGATAATAAGTGAAAGGCTATGCATGAAGGACCACTAGCAGTCGTGATCTAGAGGAAGAGAAAGAATGGATGCACCTGTAACATTGTGATTAATTTCGAGCCGATACCTTCAACTGTCGATAACCATGATTGTGTCAACCCCAATCAATTAGTCTACATCTGCAAACATGACTTAGACTGACAGTTAGTGCCTTCATGGATTGATGAAACCTTTAGATTTCTTACAACCTGCTCCTACACCAGCTAACGCGCGTCGAGGTAGGCGTTAGTTAGACATACGTATCACAAGTCCCAATGACCTCAGTTGATGAAGTTTTACAACTTCATAAATCGATTCGCTATCTTTCTGTAGTATCCTATGCTTAACCTTAGCCTTACTCGCTTACTTACTTACTTACTTACGCCTGTTACTCCCAATGGAGCATAGGCCGCCGACCAGCATTCTCCAACCCACTCTGTCCTGGGCCTTCTTTTCAAGTTCCATCCAATTCTTGTTCATTTTTCTCATATCTATCTCCATTTCTCGGCGTAATGTATTCTTTGGTCTTCCTCTCTTCCTTCGACCTTGAGGGTTCCATATGAGGGCTTGTCTTGTGACGCAGTTCGGTGCTTTCCTCAATGTGTGTCCTATCCACTTCCAGCGCTTCTTCCTGATTTCTTCCTCCACTGGGATCTGATTTGTTCTCTCCCACAGTAGGTTGTTGCTAATAGTGTCCGGCCAACGGATCCGAAGTATTTTGCGTAGACAACTGTTAATAAACACCTGTATCTTTTGGACGATGGATTTCGTAGTTCTCCAGGTTTCCGCGCCATACAGTAGAACTGTCTTGACATTTGTATTGAAAATTCTGACTTTGGTGTTGGTTGACAATTGTTTTGAGTTCCAGATATTCTTCAGTTGTAGATATGCTGCTCTTGCTTTGCCAATCCGTGCCTTCACATCTGCATCAGATCCACCGTGTTCATCGATGATACTGCCCAAATATGTAAAGGTTTTTACATCTTCCAAAGCTTCTCCGTCAATTGTGATTGGATTGGTACATGTTGTGTTGTATCGAAGAATCTTGCTTTTCCCTTTGTGTATATTGAGACCTATTGCTGCTGAGGCTGCAGCTACACTGGTTGTCTTCTCCTGCATTTGTTGTTGTGTGTGCGATAGAAGAGCCAGATCATCTGCGAAGTCTAGATCATCCGATTGCATCCTAGCTATCCACTGTATCCCGTGCTTCCCTTCAGATGTTGATGTCTTCATGATCCAGTCGATCACCAGGAGAAAGAGAAAGGGTGAGAGTAAGCAACCTTGCCTGACACCGGTCTTTACTTCGAACGACTTTGTCAACTGTCCTCCATGAACGATCTTGCAGTTTAATCCATCATAGGAATTCTGTATGATATTGACTATCTTCTGAGGCACGCCGTAGTGTCGAAGAAGCTTCCATAGGGTTAGTCTGTCCACGCTATCAAATGCTTTTTCGTAGTCGATGAAGTTGATGTAGAGTGATGAATTCCATTCAATTGATTGTTCCACAATGATCCGTAGAGTTGCGATTTGGTCTGTGCACGATCTATCCTTACGGAATCCTGCCTGTTGGTCTCGAAGTTGGGCGTCTACGGAGTCCTTCATCCTGTTTAACAATACCCTGTTGAAGACTTTTCCTGGTATTGATAGAAGAGTAATTCCCCTGTAGTTGTCACAGTTGCTGAGATCGCCTTTCTTTGGTATTTTGACTAGAAGTCCTTCTTTCCAGTCTTTTGGTACCTGTTCCTCATCCCAGATCTTTTTGAAGAGAGTTTGGAGTATCCTTGCAGTTGCCGCTACGTCTGCTTTCAGTGCCTCTGCTGGAATGCTGTCTAGTCCTGCTGCTTTGCCACTCTTGATTTGTCTGATAGCCATGCTGATTTCTTCAATTGTCGGTGCGCCAACATCAATTGGGAGGTCCGTGAGTGCTGCTTCGATGTTGGGTGGGTTCAGTGGGGCTGGTCGATTCAAGAGTTCTTTGAAGTGTTCTACCCACCTGTTTCGTTGTTCTTCAATGTTGGTGATTATCTTGCCTTCCTTGCTTTTCACTGGTCGTTCTGGTTTACGGTGATTTCCGGAGAGTTTCTTTGTTGTTTCATACAGTTGTCTCATGTTTCCTTCTCTGGCAGCCTTTTCCGCCGTCATTGCCAAATCTTCCACATATTTACGTTTGTCGGTTCTGATGCTCCTTTTCACTTGCTTGTTTACTTCTGTGTATTCAGCTTGTGCCTTGACTTTTTCTGCTCTTGTTCGACTGGTATTGATTGCTACTTTCTTGTTCCTCCTTTCTTGAATCTTATCCAGTGTATCGACCGTGATCCAATCCTTGTGATGGTGCTTCTTTTGGCCCAGAACCTCATGACATGTTGAAGTGATTGCCTCTTTTATCTCTTTCCAGTTGCTCTCCATAGTAGTTCCTTCTCCATTGAGTAGATCATGAAAGGCTTGGAACTTATTGCTGAGGGTTATCTTGAATTTATTGAGTTTGTCATTATCCCGAAGAAGAGCCGTATTAAATTTTTGTGATATTGTCCTCCCCGTTGTCCAGTGCCTCTTGAGTTTCAATTTCATCTTGGCGACCAGCAAGTGATGATCTGATGCTATATCAGCTCCTCTCTTTGTTCTCACGTCCTCCATCGTCCTCCTGAACTTTTTGTTGATGCAGATATGGTCGATTTGGTTCTGTGTGCTGTGATCCGGTGAAGTCCATGTGGTTTTGTGTATGCGTTTATGTGGGAATATAGTGCCGCCTATGACCAGTTTATTGAAGGCACATAGATTTGCAAATCTCTCACCATTTTCGTTCCTTTCTCCCAGTCCGTGTTGTCCCATGATCTCTTCATATCCGGTGTTGTCAATTCCAACCTTGGCATTTAGGTCTCCCATCAGAATAGTCAGGTCTTTTGTTGGGCACTTCTCGACGATTGACTGCAGCCTATCGTAGAATTGATCTTTAGCGTCTTCATTGTAGTCATTGGTAGGCGCGTAGCATTGGATGACGTTCATTGTAATGCCCTCTTTCTTTGTTTTGAAGGAGGCTTTGATGATCCTTGGTCCATGAGATTCCCATCCTATAAGTGCATTTTGTGCTTGTTTGGACAGCATCAATGCAACTCCTTGTGTATGTGGGGCATTTTCTTGTTCATGTCCGGAGTATAACAGCAGCTCCCCTGAAGCTAGTCGTTGTTGTCCAACTTGCGTCCAATGTGTTTCACTGATCCCAAGCACCTCTAAATTGTATCTCCTCATTTCTGCAGCAATTTGGAAAACTCTCCCAGTCTCCCACATTGTGCGAGCATTCCATGTACCTAAATAAATGGTTGCTCTGGTTGTCAGAAGGGGCATCGGCCTCGTGACTTCCGAAGAAACTCGGCTTTCATCATGAGGCGTCATAATTCTTCTAAACGAAGACCTCCTGACTCCCAGGGCAGAGTTTAAATGGTTTGAATAATTTTTTCTGGTTAGCGTTTTTTTTAGCGAGTTAGTTTTCTACGGGATGGGGTCGCTAACCCCATGCCCAACCCTCCCCCTTTATCCGGGCTTGGGACCGGCAGTAGCCCCCGGAAAGGGACTCCAGGCGGAGTTGCCTTACTCGCTTGGTTCTACCCTAATAGAGCATGTCTCACATGCACAAAATGATGTGAAGGAGACTGGTGCACAGTATACTGGTTGATTCACTGGCATATGGATAACTCACCCACACCACAAATGACCCAAATTGTCAAAGGCGAACCAAGCTGTACTAAGAACACTGAGGCTGATGAAGCTTAACAGCTAAATGAATTGGTCAATGGATTCACTCTCTTTATGATCAATATATGCTCTGACACAGACCAGTTCTGAAGTAACATTTTGCGTCTAAATGTAAAGAAAGTCAAAGCAAACATGTCTGCACCACTACTCAAGGAGTGCAAAAGATTCTGAACTTTCTCGGCATCTTCACCAAACAGGAAAACACTATATGAGCACTCTATTTATGTTAGCAGTTTTGAAACAAGCAGAGTAACTTCTAGGAGAACATATGTGATGAACATAGTGATTACCTTGACATGGTGATCTGGCTTGTGTGTAATGGTGACCCATTTGAGCTATATTTATATTATGTAGTCTAGTTTCCATGTCGGATCTTTCAAGAAGTGTCTTATCGTAGTGTGGGCAACCGCAAGTGGCTACAGATCTCACACCTTCAACGCAACTGAGAATATAACTTATTAAGGCTGAATAAGTCATATTTTTAATGAATAAACAGGTCAGTAGTTCAAAGTGAAGTGAATTTACTATCTGATAATCGAATTACTTTTGTACATAATGTTTATGATCTTGTAATGATAAATTTTGGTTTTTGGTGTGAAGACAATAACTCAGTAGTTATCTATCATGGGATCACCTTGACGTGGTGTTTATCAAAAGGCCACTGCTATTTACATTCTACCTTTGTTTATATGAACTGATGAAAGTAGTTTCTTTGCACGTTTTATCACACTGTTAATGTTGATATTTGGTTATATTTCGCTGTTTTGCAATTGTTTTGATACTAAATATGTGATATGTATATTTTTCTAGACACATTATATTAGTTAGCTAGATATTTATCTTAATTTGCTTACTAAGGAATATCATATTTTATTTATACTAGGAAGGTATATAGTTCCAGAGCTAATTTGATACTTGATAATATCTTACATACAACTAATTGAAACTCAGAGTTCGTTATATTTGAAAAACAAGTACATTTCGTTCTGATTGTGTTTTTGTTTCAATTTATTAGTTGATTTGCTCTGTTACATTAATTAACATTATAGCTCGGCCCTGGTACGGCCGAGAGGAGGGAAAGTCCGCTCTCCCTCTCGAAATGCTCTCACATGGCCATGCGTATATAGCCCCTGCCAGGGAAGTCCTACTCACTGCCTTCTCGTGGAACAGGTGTTGTTTACAAAAATGAGAGGACGAAAAGCGAATTTCCGGTGCTTTAAACGGATCCCAAACCAATGGTGCACATGGGCTCCAGTATCCTGAGGGAACAAATGGCGTATGAACCAATCGTTGGTCACCGGCTACCATGGGACTACATCTCCTCACGATGCTCCACTGCCTTGTGGGTCAGACATTCAGGTCGAACGCTCGGGGTGTGGTCCCCAAAGAAAACCATCTGCTTTGGTTTAGGCACCCGGGCAGTATCACAGCCCTCACACAAATCAAGTGAGACTTGTGTGGCGCATATGTATTTGGTGCCTCCCTGTACCTATACTTATGTGTTAAAATGAATAAAAATAAATAAATCTACATAATCTATGCAAACGATCAGTTACATAATATAATCACAATGTAAATGCATTTCAGAATTCTCATACCATTTTAACTTTTATCTACCTTTCAAATCGTCAAATTATTGGAATCTATACCATGCGTAGTAATCATAGATAAAAACAATTTGCAACCCATTTATTCGTTTTTATAATAGTCATGCATATTATTGCTGAGCCTATGAATCGATATGGTATATTTATACATATATACATATTATGTACAATTAAACCTATTCAATAATACTGTATCTTTTTGTCACGTATTCTAATGAATATATAAAAGATTTATATTAGAGGATATGAATAAATAAGTCGAACAAATAAAATTACTTTAATAATTAAGATAATAAGTCAATTGAAGCTAAACCACCATGAAAAACCTAGAAGCACTGGATGGCCGTCTCGTCCTACTGTGGGACTCCTCAGCAGTGCGTATCAACGATCACACCTGACGAGATTCGAACCCAGAACCTATCAGTCTCATTTATGAATGCTTAGACAAATTAACAAGCAATCATTTCCATTTTTTTTAAAAAAACAAACAAGAAAAGGAATATCATTCTAAAAAAAGTTGGTATGATATGATGTAGAAATAATAATTTCATGAATTTAAGCAAACACTGGACAATGAACTTAGTGACTGAACTGATATTTAAACCTCATTAATCGATATGCTTCAAATCACGAATGGGGTAGTGACCTAAAACTGTTTTTTTTTATACAAATTTTTATTCATCTCATAGAATATGAGTTTAACAACAATAAATAGACAACGGGAACCAGTCAGAAAAGCCTAAAATGTTGATATCTGTCTTTTTTTTTTATTGATTCATAACTTCATCATGAACTATTCAAATACAGAATTGAAATAATTTGAAAACGTTATTCAATTTTACTAAACAGTATTTGCTTGTGTATAAAAAGGTGTAGGCAACCGTAGGTGACTACAAGCCTCATACCAACAATACAAGTCGAGATCTATTTTATCAAGTCTATATAAGTGAATATACAGATTAGTAGCTCAAAGTTTAATTTTAAAGTAGCTTTGTTAAACATAAAGTCTAAAATTAACTCAAGTTCAAATTAGAAAACCAGATAAATGAATACACTTACTTGTTGACGTTTCAACTTCCGTCTAGACATTTTATTTTGGCAGATGATGGTAAGTCGCTCAGTTAAGAAAAATATATAAATGCCTAGTAGAGCTATGAGTGCCTCCAAAATCATTTTCCGGTGCGAGCTCAGTTTTGCTGATGATATAGATTCGTGGTGATGTTCGTCAATATGTTCATGAACAATATTAGTTTCTTGATCATGGTTGTGATGGACATGTCCAGCACCAGAAAAAGCCTGAAAACAAGAAAATTATAATCTGAAAAGATGTTGTCGTCCAATGAGAGAAAAAACAAACGATAACTTGTCAATAAAACAGTATTATCTGGTTTCAATAATAATAATAATAATAATGAATCCATTCTACGAAATCATAGGATACAACCGACTGACAACTGCTTCCATATATAAAAACTTACTGAGAAAAACTAAGAGTACACAAAGTCGAATGATTGGTAATTAGAGAGGCTAAACAATGGACCACTAAAACTCCATATACTTCGAGATAAAAAGTCACTACATACCCAACGGACCTAGTTTACTAGAAGACTGAGTCAAATTTATACTCCTCAATTTAAAACTTTAAACCTTGTTTTGGCCTATACATTTGCTAGTGATGAATGGACAGAAATACACATACCTACAGACTCATTTTTCGTTTCTAAGCTTGTTGTTTACATATCAGTATTTAACATTTTAATAAAGATGCCAATTATTATTGTGACATGAGATACACTTATTACTAAAATGAGTTTTAAATATCTCTGTCTGTATGTAAGCTTAACAAATGCTGTGACTAGACTACCTTAATACATTTATTTTCTTGTTCGTAACTTTAGATTCTTTTGACAAATAATGATTGATGCCTTTGTAAACTACATAGATTTAAACTATAACTTTACAACGTATTTAGCCACCAAGTTAGTCCTTGTATCAATCGAACTGCTCATTGAGACAACCAAATATTGACAAATTCCCAACTTACGTTACTCATAATTATCTGTCAGTTTACATGTGCAAAAGCTCATGAACTGGAAGAAAACCAAAAAAAGTTATTGTCCACATCTCGGAGCTTTCCACAAAAACAGACGGACATATCCTTACGAGTGCAATTACTCGTCATTCGTCTGACAGTGGATGTGATGGTGTCTTATAATTCTTTAAAATAGCCAGTAGCCCAGAATTGTTGAAGTTGTTGTTACAAAAAGATTTAATCCAAATCTATGCATCCAAACACACAGTTACCAGTATTATATTGTCCTGCTGATATTATTTGAGTGAACCTTTAAATGATATTTCATCCATGGCCTAAATCACAATTCCTTACTTCTCATCTACTTTGTACTCAGTCAATTTCCTTAAGTACTGCATTAACTATGACGTAAACTTCGATTTCTAAAAACCTTGTTTCTATGTTATTCTTAGTGTCCTGTTTTAGGACACTCATGTATTTAACCTACAAATACACAAATCTATGAACAATCATTCGGACATAAAGTACACATATTGTTTCTAGGTTGCAAACAAACGGAGAAAATCTATGAAAATAATGTTATGTCCTGATACAACCGTTCTCTTGGAGTTATCAACTATCTTCCTGATATTATCAACAGCAAACGGGAAACGTCTAAAACTGTATTATTTTATGCGCTTTCTGGATGACGTGAAATTCGATTATTAAAATCATTGGATAGAGTGCTGATCGATAGATGAACGCGATGGTATGATGTGGCTGAATGATGGCTACTCACAAGACTGTATAATTAATTCCTTGAATGATTACAGATCAAAGACAAGACCACTAGCCAGATGAATGGTTCTTTATGTAATAAATAACACGCTAATATTCGAAATATGGACGCAAACTAAACATGATAAAATGTCATGGGTAATTGGAAGAAATTAACTTGTAGGTCATTCGTTCTCCAGCCAATTAAGACTTGACTTTCAAGCCTACACTTTGAGCATCGTATCAAACTGACAGTCTTACAGTCCAGTCCTAAATGGTGATAATTAAAAGTAAATCACAGGGAGCCGAGTCTGTGTGCCCGAATACTACAGTCGATAAAGTGATACCATCGGAGGAGCAGGACGATACAAATATCGTTTCATTGTAAATGAAAACTTCAGTCAAAATGTACATAAACTCACTTATACAGACATAAATACAATATATCACAAGCGTTTAGGGGCTCAACATACGTAAACAATTTACCAAACAAAGCTGTTGAAATTTTTTGTTATTATACTCAACACGCTTACATGAGGTATTAAGTGAAGAAAGGCATCACCAGCAAGTGACCCAACTGCAAGCGCTATAAGGAATTGAGTTACAACATTGTAAAAACTTCGGGACATTAGAGGTACCAAACATACAACAATAAGTCCTGAAAAGCTCACCAAAAACACAGCACCAACTGCAGCTAGAAAGGCTAAAAAATAAAGTGATTAAAAACTAATGAGCCAAAGAACTCACGTAAACACGAAGTAAACAAATTCTCATATTTACTATACAAAACATTAATGTGTGTGATGTGTTGAAAAACAAATCAGTTTATAATCCTGATATGTCTACACGTATTGAAATCGTAAGCAAGTTAGTTACTACACAAAAACGAATTTAATATGAACAACATAACAGACCTCAGGGAAAACAAGAAACAGCAACATTTTCTGTCTTTAAAGGTCTATTATTGTGGCCCAGAGGTTTACAGGATTCAAAATACATACATAAGCGGATAAGTAGGATAAGCATTCCTGAGTTTTAAGATTTAGAACGGATAACAGAAATTATCGACATATATTCTAAAATTTCAGTTAACGTATGATATTCCACAAATACATATGTAATCGCTGAAAAACCCGACAATCAGAACATCGTTGTATTGAAGTAGAAGGTACGTAATATGAGGTCTAACGGGAAGCTAAGTATGAGAAACATAGTCGAAACAGAAGGGGGATTCAAGAAATAAGAGCATGAAATAACGCCAAACTCAAGATGAAGAGAAAGGCAGATAATGAATGGAATTATACTTATTTGAACACATAAATATTGGTACAAAGGGGCACTGAATACATATGCGCCACACAAGTCACTTGATTTGTGTGTGGGCTGGAGTACTACCCGGGTGCCCAGGCCGAAGCGGGTGGTTTTCTTAGAGGGTCACACCGGGAGTCTTTGACATAAAGGTCCAATCCACAAGGCGATGGAGCAACGTCAGAAGATGCAGTTCCATGGTAGCTGGTGGCCAATAAATGGTTCGTACGCCATTTGATCTCTCAGGATACTAGAGCCCATGTGTACCATTGGTTTGGAATCAGGGTTTTCCAACTCCCCTAAGTGGATCCTCCATATCCACCAACCCGGTTAAAGCACCGGACATTCGCTTTTCTTTCTCTCAATTTCATAAACAACACTCCCGCCGCGAGAGGGCAACGAGTAGGACTTTTCTGGCAGTGGTTGTATACGCGTGGCCATGTGAGGACATTTCGAGAAAGAGCTGACTCTCCTCACCGTCAGCCGTACTAGGGCATTTGAGGGCTGAAGAGATGTGAATTCGTGAGAAATGTGCCAAAACGAAAAACAAGAACGAGGATTTAGAATTTTGGTATAAATGAACACAAATACGTCACTGAAAATGGAATTCGTTTTATCAAATTACGTTTCCAGCCGTATATTACGGCTACTGAACGAGCTCAAACTAAAAAGCTCATATATACTAACAGTTTAGAGCAGTTAATGACTTTAGGGAGTGATAATATACCTTCAATCGCATGTTGCTACCGGCTGTCTAACCTACTTCACGCTAGTCAGCAGTGGGCTGAACATGCGTTACATATGTCTTAACCACCTAGGTCGATAAAGGTCTGTAGCTTGAACAGTCGACTTGGCATTGTTAATTGATACTCCACAACGAGTCTCAGCATTACTCACGACATGATACTACGTTATGTGACTAATGTCTAGAAGGCATCTATGATAAGATACTTCCAGTCCACACATAAATTCTACTTTTATAGACAACTTGATAGTAATAAATATCAAGCACACCTTTACACAGTATACTTGTTGCTTGGTTGGTAGACGGGCAAGACAACTGGTGTAAGTTGACAAAATCAGGTATTTGTAATCTCACGGTACAATATCAAAATAACAGTTATCATCTGTATAAATTTCAATTTATAAATACTAATTCCATGACTGAAGAGACGAATTCATGAGAAATATACCAAAACGAGAAAAAGAGAACGTGGATTTGAAATTGTGGTATAAATTTGTTTTGAATTAAGGTCGACTTACCTCTCCAACTGAACTCGTGCGTTGAAGGAACTACTTCGTGCGCATGGTTGTGCTTACAAACTCCAGATTTTAACTCATAAACAATAGTCGGCAACAACGCATAAAAATCCGTTTGGTTCAGATGTGAGTGATTGGGAGAAAATAAATCGAACATCTCACTTGCCGTAAAACACTAAATAGTATAGATGTAAAGATAACATTTTACTAACAGTAGGTAAGAACTACTAAACAACTTGTAAAATTGAAAAAATCGAGGCACACCATAGTTCCGCTGAAAATTAAGTTTATAGAAGTAAAGAATAGTTTAGCATTCAGTAAGTCATAAGATCATATCCTACAGCCCAGCTAAATCCACATTATCTAGAGCACAATAAAGCTTATTTAAACACGGCTTAGTGATTGAGAAAAATTAACACACTACTGGATGACAAATCGTATATAACTAAACCCCCCAAATGCCCTGGTACGGCCGAGAGTGGGGAGAGTCCGCTCTCCCTCTCGAAATGCTCTCACATGGCCATGCGTATATAGCCTCTGCCAGAGAAGTCCTACTCACTGCTTTCTCATGAAACAGGTGTTGTTTACAAAAATGAGAGGACGAAAAGCGAATGTCTGGCGCTTTAACCGGACCCCAAACCAATGGTGCACATGGGCTCCAGTATCCTCAAGGAACAAATGGCGTATGAACCAATCGTTGGTCACCGGCTACCATGGGACTGCATCTCCTCACGGTGCTCCACTGCCTTGTGGGTCAGACGTTCAGGTCGAAGGCTCGGGGTGTGGCCCCCTAAGAAAACCACCTGCTTCGGTTTGGACACCCGGGCAGTATCACAGCCCTCACACAAATCAATTGAGATTCGTGTGGCGCATATGTACTTGGTGCCTCCCTGTACCTATACTTATGTGTTAAAATAAATAAATAATAATAAATAAACCTGAAATAAATAAGAAAAACCATAAATGTGTACATGTTCAAATCGGGAAACCAAGACAGCAAAACTTAACTATACCCAGAAGGACCTATCATATGCTGGTAAACTGGGTATGATGGTGCAAAACATCTGGCTTTCATATTCAAATCGGGAAACCAAGACAGCAAAACTTAACTATACTCAGAAGGACCTATCATATGCTGGTAAACTGGGTATGATAGTGCAAAACATCTGGCTTTCATTTGGGACTGAAAATAAATTTTAAAAATCTCTGAATGTTACGATACACACAGTAAGCAATGGATAAGAAATCCATTGGAACAAAAGTGGTGTGAAAACAAGGCTAACCTTTCCACTATTAGTCTCTATAGCAGTAAACAATCTTGGGACAAGAATAAATAAAACTGAATTCACTTTACACAATAAATAGCCATACCTTACACATGGTTTAAGCGCAAGAAATTCTTTTTGGAAATTACTAACATAACTCAATAAAACAAAGTGTTTTCATCACACAGCAAGGTAAAAACTTCTGCACAGAACAGTACTTCGTTGTTTGTCAAGTCTATTACATGATCTACATAACGATAGTCCAAAGATCCCGCAAATGGGAGAATCATACATAGATTTAAAGAGCGAGTGTTTAAATGTGGCATACCAATGTAAAACTGTATACGCAAAAGTAGAGAACATTCAAAGAATGAGATGCATTAACAAACAAAGATAGAGAAAACGAAGAATGGTAGAAAAGTGACGTGCAAAACACTTAGATAACGACAAAAATACTATGCAATCTGAAGAGAAGCTATACGTAGAAAACGTTGATGCGTGAAAGTACCGCGATTTAAAATATCATTAAACAACTACAGTGGGAAAAACCTGAGATACTTCATCCCACCATTTTACATCTAACCCACTGTTATTAAGGTGAAATTGGCTACCACTATGAATAGCCTTTATTAACTTATGATGCCTGGAAGTCAAAATGTTCATAAATAACTGATTTCTCGAGTGTATTGAACAAGATAGGATCACTATAAGCAAAAACAAAAATTAGCAATAAGCAACTACATCATTTTGAAATGAACGAATTCAAATAATCCCTTTGTGAACTAGAAAAACAGTAGTTTATGTTTATTGTACTTACTGATACTCGAGTGTCGTCCCGATCTGATCTCATTATCGTGAGGAACGTTTGGGGAACTTAGAGGTTTTCTCCAAAATGGTAAGAAATATGGTAGCTTTCCGCAAAAGTTGAAGAAAAACCTCAAAATACTATAAGATATATTACAAGATATTGAGGAAAACTCGAAATTTCCCCCAGAATTTGAGGGATTTTCCCCAAACCTAGGGAAATTTTGGGGGTTTTGTGCCCTTTCTTCAAAACTTCACCAAAGTCTTCTATTGTGGCTTCTCCAAAATTTACCCGAAACGGACAAAATTTTCCTCAAAATAGGGAGATTGGGGAGCAAAACGTTCGGAAATAGTTCTTCAGAAAACGTATTTACCAGGGTCGAGCTAACGAAATGACAAGTTATATCTAGTGATATCAGTCGATGGAAATGCATGAGAAATGCCGTAAGTGATGCCACTTATGACTAACCTTGTTTTCTTTGGAATCGTTCTCATGGGGAGATTCTTCGTACAGATGCAGGGACTTCAAGAAATTCGCGAGCATTTCTTTGTCCATATACTTGCTATCATTTGTAAGTGATGCAAACAACACACTTGAGTGTTTATTTAACGTAGCATCGCTATCATGACAATGGGCACACGGAATTCGATGTTCAAATAGAGTGTATATAGCTAAGCATATGCATAAGTTTTGGTGAATACGACGGCAAAATCCCACACCACACATCAATACTATGCACAAATTAAAAACGGGCTGTAGCTGGTAATTGTAGAGTAGGAACCCAGAAAGTTAACTCCTAACACGGAAACAGTACAACCTATGCGCCAGAGCTGGTTCCACAATTTGATTGTACTACTCGAACATTAGGTACATTAAACAAAATTGAGTCCAATATTAAGTGATTTCGTGACAAGATTATATAAACCAATAGATTTCCTTGTGATCGCTTCCCGTGTTTTCGGTACGATTCCGGACTACTGATAATGTCCGACGGGCGGTAGTCCAACAACTCGACTGCATTAGTTCTAGACAGTTTGGTAGTTATCTGTGGGTTTGTTTATTTTGTAATCTAAGTAGAAGCGTTTGTCTCAGGGCAGTGGTTTCTCCAGAGCCGGCGGGTATTGCATTACCAGACAAGATGTCGGTTGTTTGCAATATGAAAAATAATATAGCGTAGACTGAAATACTGAGTAGATCAGTGTAGGCGGTGGTTTCGAGGAATAAATAAAATTGAATAACTGGTGATCCAGACAGTATGAGAAGACCGAATTTCAAGAAAAAGAAAGGCAGAAACGATTACAGACTAGAAAGGAATAAGTTAGTAGCGTGTAATGATTACAGTTAATAAGTCGCGATATGTGTGTCTGGTCCAGAATATCCGAGAAGGAGATTGCAATCCATAGGTCAGTACTAGTTTGTCAAGCCTCCTCATAAGCTATCTGCCATAGAGCTGTGATTGCTTCAGCTGGGATAAAATTTCAGATAGGGAAAACATGTGCTTAGGACATATGGGAGCGTACCTGGGTCTATGCTCTTTGATGTACTATTTCCAGGAGGCTGTGTTGAGGAGTGTGTTCTAGTCGGATGTTCATGTTAGAGAGACTTGACGAACTAAGTCTGTTATATGCCACTATCAGATCACTTATCCTCTCACAGATCAACGCGCATAGTCTCGGATGTCGAGAACCATATTCGTAAGATTTCCTCCCTAGTCCCATCATCCATTCCTTTGCCCACCTCAATTATTGATTTTCGTGATTTATGTCTCTTTCCAAGAAAAGGGTGACAACGCTATTGTGGAATTTAAAGTGGACCTCCATATCTTTGCACGTTCTGCATAACTAAGTACCGCTGAACTTATATTTTCTTAAATGTCATCAATGATGATTAGGAAGAGGAGTGGACATGACGTATTCTCGTTTGAATCTCCTGATATTGATACCCACAAGGTTGTGTGCACTCAGTATATCTTGGCAATAGACATCATATTTCATAGTAAGTTTCGGAGTCCAGATAGGACTGGGTCCGAAAAACTTATCTCTACGACCTAATCTATGAGTATTGCGTGGGACACAGTATCAAACGCTTTCGAGAAGTCAATGAATATTAAATGGCCAGATATCGTTTAGCACAACAGTTTATGCAACCCTCAGATTCTATGAGAAGATCGGACTCACAAGACCTGGCCTTCCCAAATCCGATGTGGATTCAATGAAGACGTTACGTTTGCTCATGTATTCCCTCATTTGGTCATTGGCTAGTTCTTCCGCTAACTTCGATATTATGGACGAATACAGAAAGGGTAGTGTGTTTCTATCATTATGGAAGCTGCTGCAAGGTTTAGGAGCACCTGAGTCTTCGTTCGCTGATGCCTGATTTTTATGAGGTTACCTTTAGATGAATGACAGTGATATTATGAAAAAGTCCATGCCGAGGTTCCTTGGCGTAACTAGTAACCCGCATATCCGTATAGAATACCTGATACCTTCTCAGCGAGAATAAACATAAAAACTAGGATTCTCCAGAGAAACAAACCCTGAAACAGCTGAATGCCGGCCCAAAGCAACAATAATTACCATTAACTACTAAAGTCTAACTCGCAACTCTAATATACTGACCTTAGTAGATCAGCCCATAAGAAAACGATCATCAAATGCTATCGCAATACGAAATTTGATGAAAATAGTAATCAACAGCAACAAGCTGCATTTAACAGCGCTTTCAACTGGCACCGGCAGTTAAAGCTGCGAACAGTATGGCATACTGGTGTACTGATTGATTTCGTGCACTGTTCTAGAATTGCAGGAAGGATGTTGTCACATCCTGGTGATTTTCCTGAGCTCATGCACTTTAATTTTGCAGGTGCTTACCTGGGAGTTGGATGGAAATTTTTTCGGGCCATCAACTCTCACTAGGATTGGGGAGTGCTCCGCTTTTGTATGATTCTGATTGGACTGGTTAATGAGGTTGGGAGAAAGGATTTCAGCCATCTTTCGGTTGGTATGATCTTCACCGTTAGGCACTTCGAGGGAGCCAACCCACTTGTTTTATAGGCTTTTGTTTGGTCAAAAACATATAGAGATATTTTGTGAACTGCTCGCTTGATGTGCATATATTTTATGTCGTCTCGAGCACTGATGTCACATTCATTTCTCAATAACAGGTAGGAGCAGTGATCAGAGTCCATAAGGCAACTATTCATTTATGCTAGGCTCTCCTTTTTACCCATATCAAGCGTCCTGTGTCTCGCTTAATCCAGGTTTTTCACTTTCCAGGTGTTTGCTTCGTTTTAATTACTTTGATCGTGACTAGTTCCCGAATAGTATAATTCCCTGTCTCCCAGTGGTCATTCAGTATTAGTCTCCAACACTCGTGGCTATAGAGAGGTTGAACGTATGCCCTAATGGCCGTGTAGCTTGTCAGGGTGTAGCAAATGTAGAGAGTGTCCTCGTCTCTCCGGAGAACATCGTTCGCGATCTTGTGGATTGTGGTCTTGTCGTATCACTATCTCTGGTCAGCTCCGGATTGTGGATACCCTAGATTGAAAGTTGGTAATTTGATGGCAGATGATTCTCGTCCTTCCATATCTCGTGATGTCACACCCATATGCATGCAGGTCTGAACTTTCGGCAAAACAATTCTCTATTTATCACACCTTCTTCACTGAGGTTCAATGATCAGATATTGAATTTCCTGGTTTTGAGTATTCAGGAGAACAAAGTACTGGTATTAGTGATATTACTTGTAATAGCTTCTTACTATGAGTGTTCATTCAGCACTAGCCTCTAACTCTTTTGCAGTCATGAAGCGTGCTGGAGATGCTTTCTTTTAGTCGTATGGTTTTTTTAATTCATGACATGTAGAAAGAATCCTGGTCTTCCTGAAGTTTCTCGTTTGTGGTCGTCTCAAATCTGACTATGACATGATCACTACCCACTAATGGTGTCTAAGCATGGACATCCTAGACTAAAAAACGATCGTTTGTTGACAAATAGAATAATTGCGTCACATGCTTGTTCATTCACTTTTAAACTTCTAATGACTTCAAAGGGTCACTTATGAAACAGCTATGTAGGTGATTTCCCAGGTTGCTAAGCTTAACAGTGTTCAGGTTTTGCTAGGCTTGAAGCTTCACGAGTTCACTTAATCTGCAAACGAGAAACAAGACTCGGTGAACAAAGACCAGTAAGCTAGCTATTGATGCGTCCCAGCCCCGCTATCTAGAGGGAGAAGTCCAAGCTAAGAATGGGAAGTATATTCTGCAACAGCCAGAGAAAAAGCGATCATACAAACACAATTTAAAACGCATATATATATATATATGGGTGGGTGGTAAGAAATGCACACGCGAAAATCTGCATTCAAGCGCCACAAGATAAAATTACAAACTATTAATTTTTGGGAATCTATCGTTCCCAACACTCCTCCCCTTTTCAATAGTGTACTTTCCTGAGGTCGACTGGCACTTTGACGTTTACTCGCCGCCGTCGGAGAGGCCACCTTCTGGAACAGAGATCAGCTTGTTGCTGAGCTTCTTCTCGTGGTGGGGCTGCTGGTAATTTGAAGTCATCAAGTAGGGCGTCAAGGGGAATATTTACTACTGTTGATGGGCGGTCTGGGGCTATCGCTTGTTCTTTGGCTGTTGCAAAATATACTTCCCATTCTAATCTTGGACTTCTCCCTCTAGATAGCGGGGCTGGGACGCATCAATAGCTAGCTTACTGGTCTTTGATCGCCAAGTCTTGTTTCTCGTGCGCAGATTAAGTGAACTGGTGTAGCTTCAAACTTAGCGAATTTGTCGACGGTGGTTTCGGAAACATGGATTCTTCTAAACTTGAATTATTACTCGAGCAGCAGATGAAACTTATTCAGATATGAGCATATACAAAGCTTAAGTCTAATACTCAACCAAGCAGTTCTAATCCTACCACTACCGTACCATCAGTGGATGGTATCGTTAACAGTATCTCCGAGTTTCATTACGATCCGAAATCCAATGTCACGTTTGATATGTGGTTTCGACGTTACGAAGACTTATTCAAATTTCACTTTGCTAACCAGGATGATGCTTGGAAGGTTCGCTCGCTGCTTCGAAAGTTTGGTCCTAGTGAACTAGGTAGGTATTGCTACCTAATTCTGCCCCTGAACCCGCGCGATCGCTCATTCTCGGACACTGTCCAGTCATTGAGCCAACAATTCGGAGACAACTCACTATTCAATGCGCGCTATCGATGTTTGAAGCTCTTAATGAACGAAGATACTGATTTTCTCACAAATGTGGGTATCGTCAACCGAGAATGAGAACGCTTCCGGTTGAAGTCGCTTACTGAAGACCGATTTAAAGCACTCATTCTCATCGGCAGCCTACAATCGCAGAAGTCCAGTGACATTAGAACACGCATGCTAAGTCGATTGAACCAAGACCCAAAACTAACCCTTAATGATATTGCAAACGAATATCAATTCCCAATCAATCTACAGCATCATCTGATCTTGATGGATCAAGCTTGCTTTCAAATGCTTCATCTTTAGGCCTCCAGGTCCCTTTATAAACGTAAACGTTCAGACAATGCAAAATTATTTGTCGTATAGGAAACATTAAAACTATGCCACACTGACGGCACCAAGCGAATTCAGAAAACTTATAATTAACTAATAAAAAATAATTTCAATATCTGAGATCATGAGTCAGTTGATGCTATACCACCATGGAAAACCTGGAAGCACTGGACGACTGTTTCGTTCTATCGTTTGATTCCTCAACAGTGCGCGTTCACAACTGTTACGAGTGAACTAATGACATTCGTCTGATTACAACCTTTATATTGTGTATTC